ATCGCCTGCGACGAGCCAGCATGGCTCGTCGCTCGACGGCAGCCTGCTCAGTATGCTCTTGGCATTCTGTACAGCCTCGCCAGGCTCTCTGAGACGGCCTGCAGGGCCGGCGCGGACCGCCTCGGGCGCGATGGCCCTCCTCAGTACCTACCCCTTCGATGCCTGTCGGCTCTCCAATCGCGTCGCCGGCGGCAGGCCCGCATGGCGCGCTGCTCGATGGCAGCTTGCTCAGTACGCCTTGGACAGTGACTTCTGCCTCGCTGCTCTTACTGCAGCCGCCTCCGGGGCCGGCGCCAGCCGCCTCGCTTCGCCAGTGCTGTCTACGCCTGCGACACGCGTGTCGGTTCGCCGCCCGCGTCGCCCGCGGCGGGCTCGCATGGCGCGCCGCTCGTCGGGAGCGTTCCCAGCAGGCTGTGCAGGGCAGTCTGCCTCACTCAGGGCGCCGCCGCCGCTGCGCGGGGCCGCCACCGGCGCTGCTGCCGTGAACAATGCCGACGTGTATGTCACCATCGCCTCTCTTCGTCGCCGATCCATCTCGCCGACGCCGCTCGCCGCTCGCCGCCGCCCTGCCTTGCCCTGCCCTGCCCTCGCACAAACAATGAAACAAACCAACACAGACACACACACAAACAGACACACACACACACAACTCCTTGCCCCCGCGCCCTCCCGCCTCACGCCCTGCGCCTCACGCCGCGCGTCCCACGCACGCCCCGCCCCCCGCGCCCCCACGCCCCTCACCTCGCGCCTCACGCCTCCCTCCCCACCCTCTCAGGCATTTCTCCTCCCTGCTGCTCGCCGACTCCTCCTCCCCCCGCATGACCGACGACTACCCGTCCTTCAGCGACTCCTCCCTCTTCGGCGCCAACGCCCACTACCCGTTCGGCCCGGTGAGGGGCAGGAGCGGAGCCGTTCCAACGGCTGGGAAAATTTCTGAACGGCCGTGCATGCGCCTGCATGCCGGACAACTAAGAAGGTCCCTCGCTCCTGCTCCTCTCTCGGAAGACGTGCGCCGGCCTGGGGGATTCGCTTGCGATCCCGCTCCAGCCAGAGGCCGCGTGAGGCGTGTGGGACGGTGCACGCTGGGGCTTGGCCCCAAGTGCACTGGCCTCGCGTCTCGAGGGGAGGGCGGCTCGTAACTGAGGTTCGCCGTCAGAGACAGTCGTCCTCGCTCCCCTCCTCGGCCATTCCAACGGCCAGGCCGCTCGCTTAAGGCTGATTGGCTAGACGAGCGGTCTACCTCCAATGGGGCTGTCTGGGAACGCGTGGAACCTGCCCGCCTCGGTGGGAGGTGGTTTGGCGCCGACGGACCGCCCTCTCCACCAGCACCACCCTCGCCCAGGGATCTACAATGCTGTCTCAAGGTCCGACCTGTGGGCTCCGGCCTGCGCTCGGCACCGGGCACCGCCTCGGTATACAAAATGCGCCTGCCTGCGGGCGGACCCTCACAGATCACAGATCACTCGAAGAAAGAGAAGTTTTTTGGTGTTCCGGTGCCTACAAAAAATATCCGAGATCATATGGAGCTGACCACAGGGTTTGCGGCGATCACTGTCCTACCAGCGGGCACAGTGGGCCGCGGACACCCGTGAATGACCTAAAAAAATCTTTGGGCGGATCACGTTTCTTTTTTGCTTTTTTTGTGCATGTATGTGTGTATGTCGCCCGGCGGCGAGGAGTGGCTCTGCCAGGAGGCGGGGCTGCCTTCCGAGTACGCGGCGAGGCTGCGGGCGGAGGGGCTCAGCCTCCGCCTCCTCGCGAGCGCCAAGCTGCCGGAGCGGCGCGACGTGCTCCGGCCGATGGGTCTGCTCTACGGCCAGATCATGGCCATCAACCGGGCGCTAGACCTGTGGGAGCCTCCGTCCGAGGAGCTCGGCTACAGCGACGAGGAGGAGGGCGACGAGGCGGACGAGGAGGACGAAGAGGAGGGCGAGGTTGCCGAGAGTGACGGCGGCGACACCGACCCGACCGACGAAGAGGAGGTGGAGGAGGAGTACGAGATCGTGGACCCGGCCGCCGCAGCGCCGGTGGAGGCGGGGCCGGTCGGGGCGGCGCGTCAGCCGCCCCAGCTCCAGGCTGCGGCGATGCTGCTCGCCGGTGCGCGCCGCTCGACGCTGCAGGCGCTGGCTCTGTACCTGGGGAACGCGCTCTCGGCCAACTCGGTCCGCGCTGGCTGCGGCGGGGAGGAGGGGTTGCGTGCCTCGTGTCACCGCCTAGACTGCGTGTAGGCCAACTCTGCCTTCCGGAGGGTCGAGTTGTCCAGCGCACTCTTCCAGGAGCGCGTCTGGATGGCGCCGGGAGGCGCGTCGCTCATGCGTGCGGCGGGCTTCACCGAGGGAGGCGCGGCGGGGGGGGGCGGCAGAGCGGCAGAGCGGCGGAGGGGCGGCCGGCTCAGCCCGCACCGCCGCGAGTAGGCGACGGCAAGACCTTGCGCTTGCCTGCAGACGCGCCGACCAAGCCGCTCCTCGAGGCCAAGGCGCTCCTCGCCCTCGCCCTCGCCCTCGCCCTCGCCCATGCCCCACCCACCACACCGCCCTCGCCCTCGCCGCTACCCTGGCCCCTCTCTCCTCGGAGCCGCCGCTGGCCAAGCAGAGACACTTCCCGGATACTTCCCCCGCCACTAGCCCTCGCACGCACACAGCCCTCCTCGCCACCCCCTCACCAACTCCTCGCCGGGGTGCCTCGAGGCGCTCGTGGACGCGCTGCTCGCCGAGGGGGCCGGCTCGTCGCGCCGCTCGTCGTTCGGGGGGGCGGAGGCGGAGGCGGCGGGCGGCGGGGAGGCGGGAGGCGGCGGCGTCGCTGCGGCGGCGCTGATTGCGCTGGAGGGGGAGGCGGCGCGGGTGGCGGCGCGGCGGGAGGAGGTTGCGGCGTCGATGAAGACGATCGAGGGCATGGTGGAGGACGCGCACACGCGCAGCTGGGACGCGGGCCTCGGCGCCTCGTCGGCGCTCAGCGGCGGCTCCCTCTCCGCGCGCGAGATCCGCTGCTGCCGCGCGTGCAACCAGGGCCGGCTCGCGGCGAGCAGCCTCTGCGGGCGCGGGAGGGCACCGCCCGGGTCCTCGACCTTCCGGTGCGCCTTGCCCTGCAGGCGCTGCTCGGCCGGCTGGTGCGGCTGCTCTGGCGGCGGAGCGAGCCGAGCGGCGAGGGGTCGCGGGGCGGCGCCGCGCGGGTGAGCCTGATGAACGGGCTGCGGATGGTGGCCAGGCTGATGCCGCTCCTGCTCGAGGATCCCGCCGACGCAGGCATCCGGCACCTGCTCTGGACGGACCTCGCCGCCTCGCCCGTCGAGGGCATCGACCAGCCGCCCGCCGGCGCCGCAGCGGCCGCACCCTCCGCGCTGCCCGCCGAGGCCCCGCCGCTCAACTTGGGCGGCTGCCTGGTCCTCGCTCTGGTGCGGTCTCTCTTCGTGCCCGGCTTCACGCTCCTCGCCTGTGAGGAAGTAGTGCCGCGCCGCCCGCAGCACGCGACACCTCGCCCCCTCCTCTCGACAAGGCCCTCCTGTGTGTACCAGGAGCAGCGCTTCTCGCCCGCCGCGTGGGACGCATCCTCCGCCGCCACCGACGAGGCGCGCGAGGCGGCGATGCGCGCGGCTCCTCGTCCGCTGCTCCGCCTCCGTCACGAGACGCCGTCCATGACACGTCCGGGACATGCCCAGGCGCGCGCTCCTCGTCTCCTGCTCCGCCTCCCTCTTCCTCTCGCCGCAGCAGCTCGCCGGGGCGGGCTCGGCCGCCGCCCCGAACCGCGCCCTGCTCGCGGCGGTCAACGCGCCGCCGCCGCTCGGCAAAGCGCTCTTCCGCGCGCTGCTCTCGGTCCGCTCTCCGCGCAGCCAGGCCCCGGACTCGCGGCACGCCTCGCCACTCACAGCTCCCCGCCCCCCTCTGGCTCGCAGGTCATCTTTTCGTACGACCCCGTCGGCTACGGCATCCCGTACGCGCACTCGCTGCTGCCAGACTCGCACCGCGGCGTCGTGCACGCGGCGTCGCAGCTGCTGATGGTGCTGCTCTCGCCCCGCACGCCGGCTGCCTTGGCGCGCGAGGGCGGCGGCGAGGGCGGCTGCGCGGGCGGCTGCGCGGGCGGCGGCGGAGGCGGCGGCGGAGGCGCCGCCGCCGTGGGCGAAGGGCGAGACGACGGGATCAGCCGCTTGCTCGTGGGGCTGCAGCGGCCAGAGACGCTGGCGTTTCTCGTGGCTGGCTTCCGGCGGCTGCTGCGCAACGGGTTCGCCTCGCGGGGCACCTACCTGCCGTCTGCGCAGGCGGCGCTGCAGTGCCAGCAGGAGCTGCTGCTGCTGCTGCACTGCTTTCTCGAGAGGAACGCCGCCTTCCGCCTCGCGCTGCTGCAGCGGCAGGAGGACCTGGCCGAGGTCGTCCTCTGCCTCGTCTACTGGGTTGTGGTCTGGAGCGGCGACGGCGCCGTGGCGCATCACTCGTGGGTGCACCTCTCCCTCCTCTCCCTCCTCCTCCTCTCGGCCGAGCCGGGCTTCTCGTCCATCGTCAACCTGCCCTGCCCCGTCGCGCTGCCGCTGCCGGGCAGCCGCCCGACCGGGCCCTCCATCGCAGACCTCCTCTTCTCGAGCGTGGCCGAGCTCGTCTCCGCCGGCAAGGAGAGGCTCGAGCCCCTCCTCCCCGCCGCCCTCGCGCTGCTCGCCAACCTGGCGCCGCACACCAAGATGCTCTCCGACGAGGCGGCCGCGCTGCTCACCGCGATGCTGCTCGACCTCGCGCAGCCGAGCTACCTCTTCGGGGGCGAGGCGCGGCCCGAGCTGCTCATCACCGCCCTCGCCGTCGTCTCCTCCTCGCTGCTCTACCACCACGCCGCCAACCTGCCCCTCCTCCACGCCCTCCTCCACGCCGCCGCACCGCTGCGAGCGCTGCCGAGCCTGCAGCCGCCGCCGCCGGCCGAGGCGGAGGAGCCCCTCGAGCCGGACGGCACCCGCGGGGAGGGTGCCGGGCCGGCGAGCAGCGACGCCGCGGGGGAGGCCGACGGAGGCGACACGGGCGGCGGCAACGCCGATGCAGCCGCTGCTGAGCCGTTTGCGGCCACGGCGGCGTGGGTAGAGGGCTGGAAGGCACGGCTGCCGCTGCAGGCCATCTTTTTGTTTCTGGACGCCGTGGAGCCGAAGGCGCGGACGGCGGGCGCGAGAGCGGCGGGCACCGCCAGTGCTCGCGAGGTGTGCGGCGGAGGCTGCGCTCCCCCTCCCTAATTAGTTAGGTGATTCAGGCCCCCTCCCTAATTAATTAGGTGCGGCGGATGCTGCGCGCCACCTCCCTCGCGGGCGTGCTGCCTCCGCCGCCGCCCGTCTCTGTCCGGCGGTGCGGCGCCCTCTCCCCGCCGGCCCCGCACCGCCCCCGCCCCTGCCCGCCCCGCCCCTGCCTGCCCCCGAACCCTGCCCGAACCCGGCCCGCCCCCGACCCCTGCCCGCCCCCGCCCCTGCCCGCCCCCGAACCCTGCTAGCCTCGCCCCTGCTAGCCCCTCCCCTGCTAGCCCCTCCCGCGCTCGCCGAAGGACCCGGATGCCTCCAGCCCTCGCCCCTCTCTCTCGCTCAGCGCCCCTCGCCCTCCCGCCTGTGCAGCGAGCGCCACACCCCACACCCCCACCCCGCACCGCACCCCGCAACGCAGCTGCGTGCCCAACGAGTACTCCCAGCTGTGGCTCAGCCAGATGCTGTGGGGCGTCGTCTACATGCGCAACCAGGAGCTGTACGAGCCACGCCTCGTCCGACTCGTCCCGATCGCGTCGGTGCAGCCCGGCAGCCAGTAGGGCGGGCGGGGCAGGAGGCCTATAGGAGAGAGAGAGGCTCTCGATAGCGAGAACGCCAGCCGAGCCGCTCGACGACCACGGACCAGCGCACACAGCGTGTCGGGCAGCGGCTTGCCGCGGGCCCGCACGGGCCGCACCGGCGCCGCGGGCGGAGAGTCACTGAGCTCTGCGCTACGTCGTACCGGTACGTGCCGCAGCACGCCCCACTGCAGGCTGCCCGCCCCCACTGCCCGCGCGCCGTGAGCCGTGACTAGCACGACCCACCCCGACGCCGCGCCAGCCGCCACCGGTCAGGGGCCGTCTCTGCTCGCAACTCTGAGCCGCTGACCCCGGTCCCCGGTGACCCGTGACCCGTGAGAGACCCCGCTCCCGCCTCCCGGTGTGGCGCCGGTGGTTTTTCGTCGTTCTCCGCGGCTTCCCAATCGTATTTTTCGACAGACATCATCATCGCTCTCGCTGTCGCCCCACAACCACACACCCGCAGAGACCCGGAGATAAACTGCCGCACAAATGCGAGACGCTCTCCCGTCGGAGATGGGGGGGGAGGAGAAAAGGCGCGGAGAGGGGGCGGAGAGACGAGAGTGTACGGGGGTCGGCGGTCTGTCCAGGGGGTGAGGGGGGTCGCCTCGTCCGCCTAGTAGACCTCGACGTGCCACTGCCCCGCCTTCTTCCACTGCGTCAGCTTGTCCTCCCACTTGAGCCCCTTCTCCTTGCACACGCCCTCGAGCATCTCGGTGATGCCGGGCATCATGCCCTTGAGGCCGCAAAAGTACATGTGCGCGCCGTTGTCCATCCGCGTGAAGATCTCGTCCGAGTACTCCGCGACCTTGTCCTGGATGTACATCTTGCCGCCGTCCTTGTTCTTCTGCTCGCGCGAGAGGGCGTAGTCCAGCCGGAAGTTCTTGGGGTGCGCCTTGAGGACGGACTGCCACTCGTCGTCGTACAGCAGCGCGTCGCTGTTGGCGACGCCGAGGAAGAGCCAGGCGAGCCCGCTCCCCTTGGTGTACGCCTCGCCGAAGGGCGTCTCCTCGACGAAGAGGCGGCGGATGAAGGAGCGGTACGGCGCGATGCCGGTGCCGGTGGCGACCATGATGAGGTCGACGTTCGGGTCCTTCTCCGGGATGAGCATCACCTTGCCCGACGGGCCGGTCAGCTTGACGTCGTCGCCCGGCTTGGAGTCGCACAGATAGTTGGAGCACACGCCCTTCTTGGCGGGGTCGTCCGCCTGCGCACAGACGCGCACGGGGTGCCACGGTGAGCCAGCGGCTCCGTCCGCCCGCCGCCCCCTCGCCGCCCACCCCCTCCCCCCTCCCTCCTCCCTCCCTTGCCCCCCCCTCCCCCCTCCACCCCGCGCCTTGAGCTCGGGGCACCAGTAGGTTGCCCGCCGCACGCAGAGGGTCGTCGTCGTGCCCGTCATGTCGTCGCCGTACCGCGAGGAGGCGATCGAGTAGAGGCGGACCGAGTTTGGCTTGCCGTTCTTCGGGTTGGTGCCCGGCGGGATGACGCCGTACGACTGGCCCTCCCAGTACGGCATCTTGCCGCCGTGCGACATGACGACGTCGCACGTCTCTCCCGTCGCCTGCCGGGCGGAGGGCGGCGCCGCGGGGGCTCGGACAAGGGCGGACTCCACGGCCCTTTCACTAGCTCCCTCTCCGTCCCTCTCCCGGGCGCGTGGCGGCGGCGGCGGGTGGCGCCTCGGGGCCGACGATGCGCTTGGTCGAGACGATCTTGCCGACAAAGGGCGCCTTGTTCTTGTACGTGTTGACCGGGATCGTCGACTGGTCCCAGTACGGCTCCGCCTCCAGGAAGTCCTGCTTGCCGCCCGCCGCGGCCGGCGCCGGCGCATTCATCGCCGCGTCGTACGCAGCCCTGTGGAGAGAGCCGCCGCTGGTGAGCGGGAGGCGCGGCGGTGGGGGCGGTGCCGCCACTGTCTACGCCCTCCCACCGACTGCGGCATGAGGGGCAGAGGGTAGTGCGGGCTGTGGTGCTCACTCGAGCGTGCTCTTGTCGAGCGTGGTGGAGGACTGGGCGTTGGAGTTCCACGGCTCGTCGTCCGACATGCGCGTGCAGCCGACGCGGCTCTGCGCGACCCGGCTCACGCCGATCGGCGCCGACAGGCTGAGCGAGGAGGCGACAAAAGTGGACAGCATCACGCAAGAAGCTTAGCGACCTGGCGAGGTCGATAAATACCAAAAGAAAACTCTTTGTCCGAGAGCGACATGCCATGTCCGCCTTGCTTTGTTTCATAACATCGAAGGCTAAGCTCAAAGAAAACACGGTGAGCGTGGAATTTTGTCGTATCCGGGAGGGGAATGCCGGGACCCTGTCATGTGGCTGAACCCTGCGCAGCCCCCCTCATGCGCTCCCCGGTCCCCGCTCCCGTTCCCCTGTGCGGTCTCACCTATATTCCAGGATGGCATTCTTCGAAAGGATGGGCGCCGCAGCGGCCCGTAGCGGCGCCCCCTGCGTGCCCCCGGCCACCCCGGGGCCATGGGACACCCCCCCGGCCATCGGGGATGCTTGGTTCATCCATTACCCCATTTAACGGGCTGTGTTGCGGCGCGCCTCGAGACGTGCAGCGCAGCGCAGCGCGCAGAGCCCCAGACCAGACCACAAAACAGATCAGAAGACGGCCGTGGCGACACCCGCTCTGGCGACAGCGCCGCAAAAGGCACTCGCTCGCCGGCAAGGACTACGGGTAGCACAGGCGGCAGCAGAGGTGGCGGTCCGGGTCGCAGCGCGCGTAGCAAGTCGGCCCCAGCGTCACGGGCGTCGGGCCAGGAGCCGGCTCGACGAGATCGACGAAGAGGACGAAGAGGACAAGACTACTCGAACTTGGACGAGGACTCGGGCGAGGAGCAGGACTCGGAGACCGGCCACCCCCAGCAGCAGCGCTCTGCTGCTGGGGGGGTCGGGACCCCCCCCCCAGCAGCAGCGCTCTGCTGCTGGGGGGGTCAGACCCCCCCCCCTAGCAGCAGGGATGACTTTAGATGTGCAGGGGGGGTACCGAGCAATGTGCGGCCGCTCCAGAGGCAGGCTCAGCTGCTCTCGGGTGATCCCGCTTTGGAGGCTGAAGGACCCGATGGTCCTGTCACATTCGCGTTCCGAGTCGTGGGGGTAGAAGAATTCGAGTAGAAATCGAGTCAGCACTTCCTTGTAGTACAGCGGACCGCCAGGCTCGCCGGCAGCATCCGCAGGGAGGCAGCATATTCTCAGTGTTGTGCCCGGGTGAAGGCAAATTCATTAAAATTTTTTCAAGGAGGAGTCGCTTAGGCGGCTCCCGTGGTGTACCTGTGTTAGTGCCAGTGCGCGCCAGTCCCGTAAGAAAGAAAAAACAAAACAGAAAAAAACGAGTGTGCTTGTGGCGCTCTTAATGACCGCAGCGAATATGTTCACACCTTGAGCGGAGGCCAATTGATTCGCGATACTCTGGCAAAAAAGGGGTTGGCAACGGGCTTTTGCGGGGGCAAGCCTTCAGCTGGTGCCAAAACGTACCAAAACGTCCGTCCCGTCGACCAAATACGCGGTCGGTAGAAATGGCTTGCTTGCAAGAATGGGATGCCGACAGGCGTCAGGCGGCGCATGCCGAGAAGTCGCTTGCCGTGCGGGAGCTCGTGCGCCTCTCCCTGCGCGTGCAGTCCACGGGCGTCGTCGCGGAGCTTCATCTCGACACGGCACTGGTTGCTCCGAGCGGCAGCGGAGCTGATCACGAGCGACGAATTCGCCGGGGATGCCAGGCAACAGATGGGCGCGCAGATAATTGGCGTGGCGTCCTAAACAACGCGACCGACGAGCATGCTCAACTGCTGCGCGACGCTCTCTGCGACCCCGACTTTTGTATGCGCTTTGCCATTCGCCGCCGCATTGGCTCAGGGGGCACAGTCCGCTTGCAGTGGCTCTTCCGCACGAATAGCGTTGTTGGCCGCATGCGTCCTGGCATCGGGAGGGTCCGCCTAAGAGGAAGTACGTTCGTAAGAACTGATACATATACTTTTTCAATCTCTCTCTCAATGTACGTACTTTTAGCTTACTGGGAGAAAAGAGAGAGGGGGTGTGTGTTCTCTAGGCCCCTAAGGGCCCTACGCGCGGCGTGAGAGCTCGGAAGCGAGCTCTCTCTCTCAATGTATGTGGCTCTTACGTACATTCCCGGTTTTTGTGCGTGGAGCGTCTTCCCCTTTTGCGCAGCAACACCTTAAACTTTTAGGCCCTCCAAATTCGGGTCGGAGCGTAGCGGAGTGGGCCCCGAGTTTGAAAAAGGGCGACGGACGCTTGCGTCCTAGCCTCCAACAACGCCTCCCCGGCGCAGAGGGGCCCCCGGAGGGATGCTCAACCGCTCCACGCCGCGCCGCTCGCGGCGGTCCTATTCCCAGCTCCGCTGAGGGCGGCTGCCGTTATTCTTTTGTCTCAGCAGAGCTCGCGCTTGGCCACACTCCCGCGGCAAGAGATCAGGCCGTCGTGATGATGGCGCTCCTCTGCCCCTCCGCCACGGCGCTAGTGCTACTCGGCGGTCAACGCCACGGCGCGACCGCGACGCCGCGCGCTACGCCGCCGCGCCTCGCCGCTCTCGAGCGGGTCGCGGTGAGCGTCGGCGATGCTGCGTCGGCAGCAGCCTTCTACGAGGCGACGCTCGGGCTGGTGGCGACGGCGGACGCCACGACCGACGACGGACGGCCGCGCCACCTCCTCGGCGGCGGCGGCAGCCTCCAGCTCGAGCTCCGGGAGGGCGGCGCCGATGGCGCCGCCGCTGGCTACAGCGCAGAGGGCGGATACCGCGGCCTGGTTGCTCGGGTGGGCAACGTGGCGGCCGCTGTGGCGGCCGCGCGGGAGAACGGCGGCACCGTGCTTTCCGAGAGCGCCACCGTTGAGCACGGCCCCTCCTCGAAGCCGGAGGAGGGAGTGGACGTGGTCACTGCTGTGACGCAGGTGGGAGGCGGAGAGAGACACACACAGACCGCGCATCGGCACGTCTCCATGTCCGCTTCTCCCTCCCTTCCTCTCCCTCCCTCCCTCTCCCTCTCTCTCGCCGAGCGCGCAGCTCGGCGCCCCGCCCGACGCCCCGCCGAACCCGCGACGGCAGGCGACCGTCGCAGACCCGGCTGGCTACCCGCTCCTGCTCTTCGAGGCGGGCGAGGGAGAGGGAGGCGTGCTCTGCGCCGCGCGCTGCGACGTGACCGCGTGGAAGGCGAGCGAGGACTGGTGGCAGCGGCGCGGCCTCGAGACGCTGCGCTGGCAAGCCAACCTGCCGAACGAGGCTTCTATCTCGGTGCACCTCGGAGACGCGGCCGCGCTGCCTTCCACCGGCCCCTGCGGCCCCGCGGCGGGCGAGGGCACCCCCTCCGCCTCCCGCTCGAGCGTGACACGATTGCGAGCCCGCGGCCGCCTCTGCGTCTAGGCGACGAGGCGGTGCTGCAGCTGCGGTACGTCTACTCGGCGGCGGACGTGCAGCAGGCCGGCGGGCTCGAGGCGCTGGTCGTCTCGTCGCCCGGGTGCGGCGAGGAGGGGGTGGAGGAGGGGAAGGAGCCCGACGGGTATCCTGTCGTCTTCCGCGAGTAGAGGGGGGCCCAGGCGCAGCGTAGGGATCGGGCGCTGCACGGCCGCCGCGGCGGCTGGGAGGCTTTGCTGTTTGCGGCTATCGGCGCAAGCGGTGCCGTGGGCTGGCCGCTGTCGTCATTTGCGCTATTGAAGAGTCAGACGCGCGCCGGGGGAGGGGGTAGGCCAGAGATCAGTTCACACACGCCACCAAGGTTGGTGTGCGCCGCCGCGTTGCTGTGTCCGCTGTTGGAGAGAGACACACCTCTGGGACGGACCTCTCGCTCACCGAGACCGACGGTCGTCTCCACACACCACACACCGCGTCCTTTCGTTATTTTTCAACATTCAAGATTTTCTCTCAAGACACGAGAGCGACTCGACGCTCCCGGCCGCTCTCGTCGGCTCGTCGGGCGCGCGCCTTGCCGATAGATTGCTTACACGCTCAGCCCCGAGCGCGCCAAGAGCAGCTGGACCTCTGTGTTCAGGATCAGGTGAGCGGGGCCCGCGCGGCCGGGGGTCCACACCGGCGACGGGCCCCCGCGGCGCGAGGCCGCCGACTCCTCGCGGCGCGAGACCACCTCAATCTGCCCTCAACACGGCTTGAGGATCTACTTTACCACTTATTCACAGTGTTTGAGAGAGAGGCAGGGTGTAAAAATCGGGATATCGGGGGCACGCGATCCGGCATCGCACGGCTCCATGTCCTATTGTTAGACTCCCCGGGCGACGACGGTGACAAGGCCGACGGCACGCTTACCCTCCTGGTCCTATACCGTCGTAAGACCAGCCAGCTTGGCCAGCTGCTCCCACACCAGAAATTGGACCATCGAGTAGGGCATCGCGCGTGCCCACTGGGGCAAGAAGCCCTTGTAGAAAGCGAGCGGCCCCTCCTTTGCGAGCGTCTGCCGCGCCACGTCGAGCGGCCCCGAGTATTTCATCGGCTGGCCCGTCTGCTCCGCCGCCTGCTGCGCCGACATGAAACGCGTCCTCACGACGTCGGCCGGCGAGGTGGTGACGCAATACGCAAAGCCGGCGGCGCAGGAGGCGCCCGCCTGCTGCGCTAGGCCGACGAGGCCCAATCGCTCCTTGAGCTGCACCTTCGCCTCGTCGTAGGTCGCCAGCTTGGTGCTGCCCAGCACGACGGCGCGCACGATGGTGGTCGAAGCTCCCTTCCAGAAGCCGAGGACGCCGTCCGCGCGGTAGATATCCCGTGCGTGCGCCATCACGCTCTTGGGGTTGGAGACGCTCGCGTCCGCCTGCTGCCTGATCTTGACGAGATCAGTCGGGTTGGCAATCCCGGAGCCGAGCCCGCCTGCAAAGCCGCCAGCGAAGAGCTTCTTCCAGAAGGGGGTGTCGCGCGGGTCCTCTGCTCCGAGCAGCCCCTTGACCGGCGCGTACAGCCCAAAGCGCAGCGACGAGTACAGCATCTCCCGCGCCGCCGCCGGCCACCAACCCTTGTACAGCGCGAGCAGCCCCTCGTCCGCCACGACCACCCGGAAGCCCTGCGCGAAGCCCGTGTACCGTCGCTCGCCGGAGGAGCCCTGGTTCTGCAGCCGCACCTTGACCGTCTCGACGGGGTGCACAACGAATTGTGCCTGAGAGAGCGCGCGCGCGTGTGAGAGAGAGTCGGAGAGCGAGTGAGAGAGAGGCTCAAGAAATCAGAGGCGCCACTGTTGCGGCGACACCGCCGAGGAAGAGACGCGCAGCGAGGACGTTCGAGGCGGGCGAAGCCTTGGCTTTCTGCAGTGCGAGAGACTCGCGGCGCGTCAGGCTGCCCCTGCTGCTGCGCCGGAGCAAGCCGCCAAAGTCGGTCGGCGAGCCGAATTCAAGCAGGATTGCATCATTGTCGTAGAGGGTGAGTAGGTCGATGGGTTGAAGCAGCGCAAACACTTTGAGGAATGACTCGAAGGTCACATGGTTGCTGCCGGCACGCAGCTGGCTGACCAGCACGTCCTCGTCCTCGGCGGTGAGCTGCAGGTGCATTGCCTCGAGCATCTCGTGCACCGAGCCGATGGGGATGCTTCCGCTCTGCTCGCGATCCACGGCGTTGAAGGCGGCGTGCAGCTGCTTGAGCCGGCGGCGCACGAACGTGTGGAACTCCTCGAAGCTGACGCTGCCGCTGCCGTCCACGTCAATCTGTCGCACCAGCCGTGCGGCATACGCCTGCGGCAGGTCGAGCTGCTGCAGTACCTCCTCGAGCGCGGAGGCAGAGACGGCGCCGCTGCTGCCGTCGTGCTGGCTGAAGACGTGCCGCAGGCGGGCGCCCAGCTTGTCCTCGCAGAGCTCCGTCGGCCGGCGCATGATTGTCATTGTGCCGCGATTGGTGCGGCCTGAGTGGGGCGGACGTTCGCGGTATCGCGAAGCGCGCTGAGTTGTTATTTTGTCGTTGCTTTTGGAAAACGCCCGCTTCGACCCGCTGACAGAGAGAGAGTCGCGCGAGCCTTCTGCGGAGCGATCCGCGATCTGCGTCGAGTGATGCTCCGCCTACGAGCGAACGAGCCTCGCGATCTTGCATCTTTCGCCCTGGCGAGGTGGTACTCCCACGCTCCCGGGTTTTTTTTATCTGGCCGAGTCAACCCGTGCTGGGGCGAGCCTCGGCGAGACTGCGTCAGCTGTTCCCACAGCAGGCTGGAAGTACATTCGCCAGCTTTGCTTTCGCCTAGCTGCAGACCTGCCTGCCTGCAGACCTGCCTGTTCGCGCTCAACCGGCCACGCTGCGGCACGATTCCTCCTCAACCTAAAAAAAGAAATCGATTTCCGAGAAAAAATTGTCTGCGCGCCAGTCCCGTGCGGCCCAGTGTTGTGCGAGGGAGTTGCGTTGTTTGCGCGTACATTCTTTCTTCATGCCGTGAACAGGCGCCCTATCCATCCTATGTTCTTCTCTCTCTCCTCTGCCCGTGGCCTTTTGGTCTTGACAAAACAGCCTCGCGCGCAAAGTCGCGCGCGGCAGCGTCGACCGCACGGCCTACTCGCCCGAGTACTCGCTCTCTTTTATGTCCCACCATGCAGAGCGCATCTCTCTCTCTGTTGTGCGAGGCGTGAACCGCGCCATTCGCTCTCACCTGGCAACCCTGTCTGCACGTCTCGCGCGCGCGTGAACAGGGCTCCAGGCCCCAAATGACGTGTGAGTGTTAGAGGTTGTTTGGTATTGCTAAACTTGGAGCACTTGGAGTGCAGTTAGCAACCGCACATCCAGGGCCGGGGAGCTAAGAAGCGCACCCAGCGGGCCGGATGATTGGCATCGGGTTGCGGGCAAGAAAGCCCTAGCCCTGGGGGTGCGCGTTCGCAGGGAAAGGGCCATAAAGTAAAAGTTGGGAAGTAAACACGGGTCTCCGAGAGGGCTCCGTGTACCGGGTTTCCCCTTAACTTCAGAACGCCCCCTTACTCGGAGCTAGTGGACACAGACACCCCGACACCCCCCGTCACGTACACACCCGACTGCCTAACGTACATTTTGCCCGGCTGTACGGCTAATCAGTAACCAGCCTCCGGCGGGGCCCCCCGCTACCATCCAAACCCGAGTACCGGTCTACAATCATAGATAGAGGCTCAAGTGTGACATAAGTGTCGCTGTCCACATAGACATATACACATACACAAAGCAACTCTCACGCCGTCTGCCTGCGCAGCTCGAGCGCGGTCAGGTGCGGGGACGCGTGGCGGCGGGGAAACGCGGCGGCGGTGGCGGCGGCGGCGGCGGCAGCGGCACGCGCGGGCGGACGGATTCGGACGGGGCGGAGCAGCGACCGCCTGGGCGGCCGCTGCTCTGTCTGCCAGAGCGCGCCGTCTGCGCAGCTCGAGCGCGGTCAGGTGCAGGGAAGCGTGGCGGCGCGGGGACGCGCGGCGGCGGTGGCGAGCAGGCGAGCGGCCCGCGCGCGGCGAGGCGGACAGGTGATCGGCAGGTGGGTGATGGGCCGGAGAGTGACCGCGCCCAGCGATCGGAGGCGAGCCGGTCGTCGCTCGGCCGCAGCTGACCTCGAAGGCGTGCGGAGCGCGACTGTCGGTGTCGGGGGGCGGCCGTCATGTGGCGAGGAGGGAGGACGACAAGTGCGCGTCGTACGGGTCGCTCTTCATCGGCCAGTCGAGCGGCACTCAAGTCGAGACCGAGCATGGGCGACGAAAAGCCGGTGGGGCCGGTGGGAGGTAGGACGAGATTGTTTCGCGCTTTCAAAAGCGGCTTCGCGCGCAGCGCAACTTTGGGTTTGCCACGAAAAGCGCTTCCAGTGGAAATGGGGGCTACTGGGGCGGCCAATTCACACCTCGCGGGACTACTTATGTTTTCGTAAACGTAGTTGTGGCCCCCCGCTACGTCGCACGAGTGCAACCGGGTAGCGGGGGGCTAAAATCTCTCTCTCTTGGTCTTGTCGTTGTTTCGCACCCATGTCTGTATGGCAATCGAGGCTGCCTTCCCCACTACCTGTAGTTCACTCGTCACCTCTCCTGCGAGCTCCCGCAGTAGCAAAAGAAAGACAGACAGACAGACAAACCCAAACGAGGGATGGGGGAGGAGGACAGGGTCCACACCTGCACGAGCAGGATTTGGGGAGGACGATCAGGGGGACAGGTGGGGCTCTCCTGCTCCTGACAAGGGACACGACTGGCTCGCAGCGCACGGTGGACTCCCAACTCCACTGGCGGTCTCAGACCGGCCTGAAAATAATTTTTCTTCGTCGGCGGGCACCTTGCGAGGGATGAAGTCCGAGTGCGACGAGGGTTTGCTTCTCGACGGGATCCTATCGCAGGCACGCGTGGACGGCTCCGAGATCCGCCGGCTGCTCTCTCAGTCGCACGTCCGCGCTTCGGACCTCATCGCCGAGCCGGAGCACCGAGTCGAGGCGATGCTGCAGGCGTGTACACGCCTGCTGCTTGTGTCTTCCTGCTTTCCTTTCATGCGCCGCAGCGCCGCCCTCTACCCCACCGCCACCTCTCGCTGCCACCACGGTCATCGCCGCTGTCCGTAGCAGCTGTCCGTAGCAGTTGCAGCCACCACCGCCACTGCGGGCACCGCTCACGCTGCCACTGCTCGCCACTGCAGCGGGCCGGCCTTGTGGTGGGAGACATCTTCAAGATCGTGCGTGCGCTGCGCGGCTTCCACTCCGACGGCGGCGGCGGCGGCGGCGCCTCCTCCCAGCCGCAGGGCAAGGCGGCGCGAGGCAGCCGGAACCAGCCGACGATGCGGTGCGGCCTGATCGTCTACTCGACGACGGTCCTCATCGTGACGCTGACGATCCTCTCCTTCTACCTGCCCGCGATGATCTACCACGTCCGCTCGACCAACCACCGCATGACCCGCTCCACCACCTACTCCACCACCCTGCACGGTCACTACTCCCTCCCGGCGGCCCTCGGAGGCCTGCCGGCCGGGGGTGCGATGCCGGCGCCTCGCGGGCCGAGCGGCGTGCTAGGGAGAGAGCCGCCGCGAGGCAGCAGAGGGGGGTGCGCCCGACCCGCCCGTGACGGCCGTAGGCGCGCGCGTGATGATGGTGACTGCGAACCAGCCGCTGCCCTGCACGACGCGGTGGGAGATGCAGCCGAGATGCAGCCGAGATGCAGCCGAGATGCAGCCGAGATGCAGCCGAGATGCAGCCGAGATGCAGCCGAGATGCAGCCGAGATGCAGCCGAGATGCATCCGAGATGCAGCCGCTGCCTTTCACTCCGCGGCGCGGCGGGCGGAGCCTCATCGAGGGGCTCTGCCTGGTCCTCGCCTGGAGCCCCTCCCAGGAGCTGCTCGGAGCCCCTCCCACAGGCGCGGCGACTGGATCATGGAGCTCGCGCTGCGCAACAAGCTGATGTGCGCCGCTGCCTCGGCCGTGTTCACACTGGACCGTCTCACTCCCACACCGCTGCTGCAGGTACGCGACGCTGCACGACTACAAGACTTGGTGGAGCACCGAGCTCGTGTCGGCGTGGGACCTCGAGGCGCCTCTGGCCTCTGGCCTCTGGCCTCTGGCCACTGGCCTCTTGCCTCTGGCCGGGCCGCCCTCCCGGCCCTGCCCGCGGGGAGGCAGCTCACCCCTCCCGGAGGCTCCTCGCAGGCCGCGTGGAACAAGATCCCGCTCCTGTACGTCCTGATGCACCCGGAGTCGCCGGTGCGTCGGGAGGCGGGGTGCGGCTCCTCGCAGCGGTGCGTCGAGAGGAGGCGCCTGCCCCGCAGGTGACGCAAGGCGTGGAGTGGCTGCTCTGGATGGACGACGACGCAATCTTCACAGACATGAACTTCACGATGCCCCTCGAGCAGTACGACCGTGACGGCGCCCCCCCCCCCCCCCCCTTCCCTCTCCCCCTCCCCGCCGCCTTGCCGTCGCCAGAGGAGAGCGACACGACCCGCCCTGAAGCCCCGACCGGCTCACGCGGCGCACGCGGCTGGCGCAGGCATCAACCTCGTCATCTGGGGCGACCCGCAGAGAGTCTACCGCGCCAACGACATCCAGGGCCTCAACACGGGCGTCTTCCTGCTCCGCAAGTGCGAGTGGTCCCGCCAGCTGATGGCGGAGGTGGCCGCGCTCGCGACGCCGAGCATCCGGAGGCAGATTGGGAACAAGGGGCGGATCGCCGAGCAGGGCGCGCTGACGTGGGTGCTGCACTCGCAGGCGGGGCCGCCGGGGGTAGAGGGGCGGGGGGCGGGGGGGGGGGGATGAGGGGCGGGGGGGGGGGTGAGGGGCGAGGCGATGGCCCAGGGGGCCAGGGCAGCGCCCCGACCCACCTCGCCTGGCCGCCGCAGGCGGAGAGGCGGAAGGATCGCGTGATACACGTATACATGTATAGGCGGAGAGGTGGAAGGATCGCGTGCAGCTCGAGCGCAACTTTACGCTCAACGGCAACTGGATGGACTATGCCAAGAAGTGGGTGCCGGGCAAGCCAAAGCTGGCGCTGCCCGTGTGGGGCAACGACGCCATCCCCTTCGTGGTGCAGTACGCCGGCTGCCAGATGTGCCGCGGCCACTCGGAGAACGGCTCGTGGCACGACGGCGGCGTGCGCAAGTGCCAGAACGCCTTCATCGAGGCGTACACCTTTGGCGACGACCAGGCGCAGACGCCCCGACACTTCCGAGACACTGGACACCTCCTGGACACCTCCTGGACACCTCTGGCGACGACCAGGCGCCAGCATGCGCGCGTAGAAGGGCGGAGGATCGCGCCGAGCTCTCGGCCGAGTTCGCCCCGAGATCGTCGCCCCGAGATTGGCCGAGGCGTCGCCGAGTGCGTGCCCGGCTCCGCGGCGAGGTGCTGTTCTCGGCTGGCTGCACCTCGGCTCATCTCGGCTCATCTCGGCTCATCTCTGCCGCGCAGGTGCTCTCGCTGCTCGGCTTGCGCCACCTGACGATGGACACGCACCTCGTGCGGGCGAGCGCGGGCTCGGAGCTCTACCAGCGCCACCAGCGGATGACGCGCTGCCTGCCCTCCTTCCTCGTCATCGGCACGCAGAAGGGCGGCACCTCCTCCTTCCACTTTCTGCTCAAGTCGGGCTGGCACGACGCCGTCCGCGTCAACAGCGGCGAGAAGGAGATCCACTACTTTTCGTGGGACGACCAGTTCCGGCAGGGCCCGCTCACCTACCAGCAGCGCTTCGACGGCTCGGGCGACCGGCTGGGCGAGTGCGCCGAAGAAACCAAGCTGCGCGGCGAGGTGAGCGCGACGTACCTCGACTACCCTAAGGCGGCGGAGCGGGCGGCGATGCTGCTGCCGAGCGCACGTATCGTGGCGCGGCTGGACGAGCCCGCCTCGCAGCTGCTCGCAGCACCGTCCTCGAGCCCTGGCTCGGCCTTGTCCAGGTGCTGCTGCGCGAGCCCGTCGCGCGACTCGTCTCCTCCTTCAACATGAAGTGGCAGGTCGAGATCTGCGGCAAGCTCACCTGGTCGCGCACCGACTGCTACAACGGCGTCACCTCGATGCGGGTCATCAACGAGAACAACGTGGCGCCCAAGCAGCGCGCCGCCGCCGTCAAGGTTTGGAACGAGTGCTCTGTCGACAAGAAGGGGCTCGACCACGACTGCTTGCGGCGCGACTTTGTCGACAAGCTGAGCGCCGCCATCAGCGACGAAGAGAGGCGGCTGGGCGAGTGCGCCAAGCCCGGTGCGCCTCGGGCCGCACGGCTAGGCCACCCGCGGCCCGCGGGGTGAGCCTTTGTGAGGCTGACGCGCCTAGGCGCCTTCGAGGAGCTTGGGTCCTGCCTCGGCGTGCAGGGGCTCGAGCAGGCGAAGCTGTACGCGCTGATGGAAGGCGCGCTCTTCCTCTACCGGTCGATGTACTCGGAGCACCTCGCCAAGTGGCTCAAGGCGCGGCCCTCCTCGCCCCTCACGCCCCCCTCCCCATTTGGCCCCCCTCTCCTCCCTCTTCCGCGCCTCGCCGCGACGGCGTGCGGAGCCGCCCACGGCAGCAGGTGTGCCCCAGCCCTGACCCCAGGCCCTCATATGCCCTCTGCCCGCACCCTTGCCGGCAGGTGTACCCGGCGGAGCAGCTGCTGGTGATCCCGTCCGAGAGGCTCAAGGAGGCGGGCGATATGAAGGACACGATGGGCCGCTTTGCGCGCTTCATGGGGCTGAGCGACAGCGGCGCAGAGGCGCGCGACGAGCCTGCGCCCTCTCCTGCCGGCTCTCCCATTCCCATGCCCTCCTCTCACTCACTCACTCACTCACTCACACACACACACACACACACACACACACACACACACACACACACACACACACACACACACACACACACACACACACACACAGATGCGACGTCGTCCTCGTGCGTGTGTGCCCCCTCCCCCACTCCCTCCCCCCTCCCCCCTTCTCCCTCCTCGCCCTCCCTCTCCCAGGTGCACAACGACCTCATCTTCAAGTCGTCGCCGGCCGCGAAGGGCGTCGGCTCCGACGGCCACGTCCACGAGAATGGGAGGACGTACATCGCCGAGGTGCCGCCCACGCATGTGCATGTTCTCTCTCCCTAGCCGCCGCCGCCCTTACCTTTCCCGCCGCCTGCGAGCAGGCTCCCGCCGACCTCGCCGAGAAGATCCACAAGATCCTCTGCCCGAAGAACCAGGAGCTCGCGCAGCTCCTCCTCGACAAAAAGCTCATCGCAGAGGCGGCCACGCCCCGGGGACCGCCAGCCGCGATCAGCTCAACTCCAACCCCGCCCCCTTCTCCGTCAGGTCGGCGACATGCCGTGGCTCGCCACCGCGCTCAAGCGTGATATCTGCTAACCGCGTGCGCGCCTCGCTCGGCGGCGCGCTGGCCTCTGTCTTTTGCTCCTTCAGCCACACAATATCAGAACTCTGCCTCCTCCTTCAGAACCCACGTGTGATTTGTTGATGAATTTGTGTACTGCCCTATTTGGCCTATCGCCGGATGGCTCCTTTTCAGTTTGAGTTACCTATGTGTGTATGGGTAAAGCCGTACCCCCCCTGCACTTCTAAGCCCGTCCCTGCTCTGCTACGTGGCTGGGTTCACAGCATTGTACCCGGGTAGGAAAATGACGGGAACACTTAACGAATCGGCCTTCCGACTCGCGCCTCCGCCTCACTGGCACTATTGTAGCCCTGGCCGGTGCGCGTGCGAAGTTGAAGTTCCGGAGTGAAAATTCGAACGCGTTCTCTCACGGTGACCAAAAAATGTCCACCTCAGAGGCACCTCCGGAGGCAGGCCGCCGCACGCCGGCGACACAGCTCCAGCTGTCGAACTGACCCGCAGCTCCTCTCAGAGCGGGAACTGTGACGAAAGTTGACTTAGGCGGTTGTCAGGAACCATCATACGGATCACATGGTGGCTCTTTCATGACGGGAGACCGCCCGACCACTCCTGGGTGGCACTGCCACCGGTGTCGCTCGACGTCCTGTCGACAGCGTGCCGACAGCGACACAGACCATGTGGGACGCGTCGAGCATCGACCTCTACTGCTTACCCAGCCTTCGAGTGTATCCTGCCTGTGGTCCCACACCCACTGGTGTCCATCTCAGAGACCGCAGGAGGTCATGAGGGTCGATGGGAGTGCCAACCCCACAATGCCTAAAATGTAAAAACCAGCCCAGTCACGGGTTTATATATGTCGAGACCATAATTTGAAATTAGCACAGACACCACCGTCTGCCGTTGTGACGTTGTCTCAGACTATGATTTATGTCTCGAGAGCTCGTTTTGCGCGGTGTGTGTGACGTATGTGTGGTGTGTGTGAGTGTTACGGCTTTATTGTGGGGTAGCGGTCTCGCTCTCGTGTCACGTGTGGTCTCGACAGACGCTCTGCATGATCGCACATGCTACGCGCGACGCGGCCATCGCACACATAGACAGAGCCGCGGTGTGTGTGGCGCGGAACCCGCTCCACGACGCTGACGTCAGGCTGACGGGTCATCACTAGAGTGAACCGGCGAAGTCACCACTCCTCGCCGCCTTCCTCCTCCGCCTCGGCCTGCAGCCGCTCTCGCTCCTCCTCCTCCTCCCGCTCCCGCTCCTCCTCTTCCTCGGCCTCCAGCCGCTCTCGCTCCTCCTCCTCCTCCCGCTCCCGCTCCTCCTCTTCCTCGGCCTCCAGCCGCTCTCGCTCCTCCTCCTCCTCCCGCTCCCGCTCCTCCTCTTCCTCGGCCTCCAGCCGCTCTCGCTCCTCCTCCTCCTCCCGCTCCCGCTCCTCCTCTTCCTCGGCCTCCAGCCGCTCTCGCTCCTCCTCCTCCTCCCGCTCCCGCTCCTCCTCTTCCTCGGCCTCCAGCCGCTCTCGCTCCTCCTCCTCCTCCCGCTCCCGCTCCTCCGCCTCACTCTCGCCGCGACTTTGCGAGCCGTCACCGGCAGCAGAGCAGCTTGCGGCGAAAGTGCCGGCGGCGGCCGAGCTGCTGGCGGCGGCGGAGGCGGACCCGGAGGCGGAGGCGGAGGCGGAGGTGGAGGCGGAGGCGGACCCGGAGGTGGAGGCGGAGGCGGAGGTGGAGGCGGAGGCGGACCCGGAGGTGGAGGCGGAGGCGGAGGTGGAGGCGGAGGTGGAGGCGGAGGTGGAGGCGGAGGCGGAGGTGCCTGCTGCGCGGCGACTTTCCCGCCGCTCTCGCGTGAGCCGCTTGGACCGAGCGAGGAACGAAGAAGACACTCAGTCTAATTTACGTGTGGGATCAGACGCTGTCGGTGGGACATGTATTCCACCACTTTCACGCCGGAATTTTCAAAAACCGGATTCAGCCCTCCCCAAGTGGGTGATCTGGTGCTTGTAGGGCTTGAGAGTGGCCTGCCATGCACAGGAAGGACTGTGGTTGCAGGAGAGTACCACCAGCCATCACTTTGTTGGTATAGTATACCGCACCTTCACCCATCCAGTGATTTCTTTTTTAGTTTCCCATAAGTAAGGTAGGTAGGTAGGAAGGTTCGTAGCTAGGTAGGAAGGGGCTGGGCAGGGGCCGGCCAGGTTTTTGCAGAATTTCAGCATGACGTACGGCAAACAAAAGTTGTTTGGTATTGCTAAAAATCTCTCTCTCTCGTACGGCCAAGCAAAAATAAACTACACCTGCACACCCCAGACACACACTCATCTTGGTGAAGTGCCTGTTTTAGAATATTCCTCATTATTCGCTAAGCATCAGTGATGCACTCTCACCCTCGCTGCCCTAACCCGATTGCACGCACACCTCCACGCTCCGACCGACCGAGAAAGAAGCTCCGGCCGAGCGACCGCAGGCGAAGAGTCGAGATTTTTGAGAGTCTAGATTTTTAGAATACCAAACAACTCTACACTCACACATCATTTGGGGCCTGGAGCCCTGGCACTTAAAGGTTGGTGGGAAACAGATCTTCACGCCCTGTCCACGCGCGCGCGAGACGTGCAGACAGGGTTGCCAGGTGAGAGCGAATGGCGCGGTTCACGCCTCGCACAACAGAGAGAGTGAGAGATGCGCTCTGCATGGTGGGACATAAAAGAGAGCGAGTCGTGATTTCTTGTTGGGGGTTTCAAAAATCTCTCTCCGCAGGCGGGAGGCGGCCCGAGACAGCTTTGAGCCGCTAAAAGAGAGATTCTCTTGAGCCGCTGTGACTCGAGACGCTCGAGACGCTTTAATCACATTCATCGATCGCACTAATTTATCCCCCCTGACCCAACCAACGAGCGAATAGAGCGTGGGAGGTGTGATCCGGCCGGTTTGAACCACCCGTCTCTCGAACGCCGTGAAATCTGCTTTGGCGCCAAGCCTGTGACGAGTTTTGCCACGAAACCACGGCCCCGATTGAAAATGGGGCTACTGGGGCGGCCAAACAGCAAGGGAGGGAGGGGACAGGGGAGGACGGCACGCCGCCACCTGACCACACAGGAATTTCATGGAAAGGGGTGTGTTGCTAGCCGCCCCCCTGTTTGCCCATGTGGCCATCTGACTCGCCCTATCTCTCGTCGCAGTCTCCTGCCGGTTCTCGCACGGCAACCTTCATGGCCACCTCGCGGTCGTCCCACTCTCGTCGTTCTCCCTCCAGCCCTTGTCTGGACGATTCTTTCGCGGTATCTTGATGTATCTCTCCATATCTGACCGTATCCCGCCATATCCCGCCATATCCCGCCGCGGATACCGCGAAAAGAATCGTCCAGACCAGGGATCTCTCCTGGCCCGTCGTCCTGTTCTCTCGCTTGTCGCTTCTTCCTCTGTCGCGTCTTCGAGCCTGTCGTGTGTCGATGTGGCGCTGCTTTCTCACATTCAGGGCTCGCTTCCCGGATCGGAGCGGCTCGCTGTCTTTTCCCATCTTGATTTGCGCTCCTTTGCCGTCTCTGAAAGAAAGAAAGAAAACAGACAACCCAAGCGCCAAGGGAGGGATGGGAGGACGGCACGCCGCCACCACACAGGGATTTTAAGGAGGAGTGTGGTGCTAGCCGTCTCAAAAAGAAATAAATAAAACAGGCAACCCAAAGGGAGGGATGGGAGGACGGCACGCCGCCACCACACAGGGATTTTAGGGGAGAAGTGTGGTGTTAGCCGTCGCCCACCCTCGGGCGTCTACTCGAGGTAATTCTCACCCTACTATACTACAAGTACCACTTCCTATCTCTCTCCGCAGTTTATCACCAATTCTTGCAGCGACCTTCATGCCACCTCGCATTCTTCCCACTCTCGTCGTTCTCTCTCTCTCCTGCTGTCTCTTCCCCTGACTCATCGCTCTCCTCGGCCTCGTTCTGAGACGCCGCTGTCGTCTGCCGATCTCTTGCTCCCGCTGCTTCTCTCGCCTTTCTGCGTAACTCCGCTGCGACGGTGTATCATTCACTTTATGCCACCGTTGCATATCCGATACACCGTCGCATCCGCTCTCCTCTCCGCGTATTTTGGTCCCTCGTGCTAGCCGTCTCTCAGCTGCGCATGCCCTCGAAAAATCTTTTTGCAGAGCGCTGGGCGCTCGCCGTCGCTCTCGCGCCATACCTGCAGAGCAAGCCCGCGCTCCCCTCTCGCACTCCTCTTCTGCACCGGCTCTCCCGCTCGAGGACACAGCCACTCTCACACACACCGCGCCGCCATGCCGCCAAAGAAGACTTTCGAGAAGATTGGCCAGACCATCGACTTTGATGAGACCACACCTGACGGGCCGGCGCTCAAGATCTTCTATGAGACGCTGATGCAGCAGCGGCCCGACAGCGCGATGGCGGCGGAGTGGCTGCTGAAGCGCGGGATGCTGGAGGACGACGACGCGCAGGCCTGGCTCAAGAAGCTTGGAAAATCCGCCAAGGCTGGTGGCAGTGGTGCGTCGAAACCGAGAAGGGTCTGTGACTCGCAGCCGTCGCGCCGCGCGGCCGTGTGACCGGACCACGCCTGACGCCTCCTCTCCCCTCGCCACCACAGAAAGCGGGCGACGACGACTTCGAGGCTGCGCCTGCCAAGAAGGCTAAGGCGGTGCGCCGCACTCCTTCGCTGCAACGCTCGCTCGCCGCAGCACTCCCGTCCGTCACCGCAGCACTCCCCGCGGGCGGCGCTCTCCGCCCTCCCCGTGGCATCGCTTGCGGCCGCGGCTCCGCTCGTCCCGACCCCACCACCCGCCTCTGTGCCCTTTGTTGTTCCTTCCTGTGGCTCGTCTCTGTGTGCCCGGCCGCCTTCCTCTGGCCGTGGCTCGTGCTCTTGGGCGCCTTGTGCGCCGGGGCCCTCCCCTTTCGGCTGGGGTGGTCTGCGGGATCGTTCTGGCGGCTTGCGGGCTCTTGCTTTCCTCTCGCATTCGGTTTTCTCGTCGCCGGGT